AAGGGTCAGCTCCTCCCTCCAGAGCTGATCAAGACTAGTCTATAGGGTATTAGCACCTGGTCACCTGACCTGCTCCATGCTATCCCTCTAGCCTTCCTGAGAGTCACCTGGGAGTTGCTTCACTCTGTTTATTAAACTGGATATATTAATTTGGTCTGATTTGACTTACAGCATCAGTGGAGGATATCCAGTAAGCAGGGATCCAATATTTATCACGGGGCATGGTGGCATGTAGTTGTAATCGCAGCACCTGGCTGCAGAGCCAACAGGATCAGCATACATTTGAGAACGACCTGCTCAGGGCAGCAAGTTCCAGGCCAGCCAGGTTCACTTAGCAAAACACTGTCTCAAAACAGAATGAAATAAAACAAATTTTAATCGATACATAAACATGTATGCCATATCCGAATGTACCCAAACACACACACACATACACACATATATAGTGAGGGGATATTTAAAAATGTTTTGTATCTTATATTTTGGGAGAAACAGGCATTCCATGAATTTTTCCTTTGCACTTCAGCCTCCATTTTCTGGATGTGGAGGTTACAAACTGGCTGCTAACCGGGCAATGGAGGTGGGGGGTAGGGAAATTTTATGGGGTACCTGAAGAGAGACTCCAAGGTGTCTGAATAAGTAGAATAAAGTTTTTATTAACCACCGATGGGACTGTCCCAGGCAGGTTAGGGTGGTAAATGGCCTTGACCTCCGTCCGGTTGGTCCTGGTTTTTAAGGACAAAAACTCAATTGTGACGCCTACATAGCTCAGGGTCCTATTGTATAGGAATTTAGAGTCAGTCTAAGTGAGCAGAGACCAGTTTTACCCAAGGCAGTTTTCACACTTGAAATATTCTTAGGAATATTTCATGAGCTCTCACCTTTATGAGACGCCATAACTATAGCTCAGTAGCCTGCTGAAAAGGAGGGTTTGGTGTCTCTAACATATTGAGCTCAGTTGCTACGCTTGAGGTTGTCTTCCTGGGAATCTTGTAGCCTCCTGTCCCATGTCAGCTTTTAGACCAGTGATTCTCAACCTCTAAATCATGTCCCCTTTGGGGGTTGACTAACCCTTTCACAGGGGTCGCCTGAGACCATCTGCATGTCAGACGTTTACATTATGAGTCATAACAGTAGCAATATGACAGTTATGAAGGAGCAATGAAAATAATTTTACGGTTGGGGATCATAGCAACATGAGGAACTGTGTTAAAGGGTCATGGCGTTAGAAAGGTTGAGAAACCCTGTTTTAGACAATCTTGCTCTTCATTGGGACACTGACGCACCAGAGATAGGATAAAGCACTCACTCCTCTGGGGCTCACTTGACTAGTGTCTAGTCAGGGAAAGGTGGATTCTGAGGAGCAAGGATGACCATCAACAACTGACTCCAGGTAAAAATCTGGCAGGTGATGAACTAGAGATCAGAGTTCAAGAGGAGCAAAAACTGGAGGTGTAATTTACAGCCAGGGGTTAGCTGCGTAGTAAGTAAAGCTATGTTGGAGTGTGTGTGTGTGCATGCGTACAATGCTAAAGAGAGGCCATTTCTCCATCTAATCAAGTCATTTGTCCTTAGTTCTAGCTTCATGTTGCTGTGTGGACTTAATGTTACGGCCTTTTCAGTTTTCAAAAGAAGTAATTCATTTGATGCTTTATAGAAACTACATGGCCGATTTCAAAGGTAGCAGCACTGCATTTTGAAATTGTGTGAGCTCTAAACCAACTGTTGGTTGCCTCTATTCAAAGCTGATTTCAGAATTTCATGCTGCATGCTGGTTTGTGCTACTTACTACCTGGGTGTGTTAGGTTCAAAGGAAACTTCACGCCTCCAAATTCCGGCATGCAGGTTTCCTTACTACTGAAAGAGCCATTTCCTCATTTCTGTCAGAAGGGAGAAACAGCTCTCTGTGTTGCCTACCAGCTTAGCTAAACATATGCTGGCTCTTCTCAGCTCTTCTTACCCCACCCCATCCTAAAGTTTTCCAGCTCAGGGCTTCCCTTCCAGAAACTTCTCATTCCTACACTCCTTGCTGTTTCAACCACGAGCTTTCTCGGTCCCTCTCTCTCTCGGTCCTCTCTTTTTCTTCCTCTTTTACACCCCACCCCCATGGCCAAGTCCAGTCTGCTGGTCGTGTTAGTTCAGTCTACTGCTTTCTCTCGACTCTTCCAAATGCCTCTGACTGTTCTCTCTAACATCTATGATAAAGACATTCCCCTCAACTTGGAGCAGTCATGTCCTCATTCAGTGCCCCACATAGTGGGCAACTGTTAAATCTGTGTTTGGATAATGGCTTGAAGAAGATTTAGTAAGTAGCTGTGTGTGTGTTGAAAGTTAAGATAAGTTCTAGTTCGCTTCTTTGTTGCTGTGGAAGAAAACTACCACTACCACCATCACCTCCACCACCACCATCACCATCACCACCACCATCACCTCCACCACCACCTCCACCACCACCACCACCACCACCACCTCCACCACCATCACCACCAACATCATCTCCACCACCATCACCACCACCACCACCACCATCATCTCTACCACCTCCATTTCTACCACCTCCACCAGCACCACCATCATCTCCACAACCACCACCACCACCTCCACCACCACTACAACAAAAACCAAACCAAACCAACAACAATAATAAGACAACTCTGACCAAAACCAACACAGAGAAGATAGTGTCTATTTGATTTACACTTCCAGGTCACACCCTATTATTGATGGAAGTCGAGACAGGAACCTGGAGGTTGGGACCTGGAACAGAAAGCATGGAGGATGCTGCTTTCTGGCTTGCTCTCTGGCTGCTTTGCTCGAGATTAAGCATCCCAGGACTGCCTATTTGAGGATGGTACTGCTCACAGTGAGCTGGTCCATCCTGCATCAATTAATAATCAAGACAACCCTCACAGATATACCCACAGGCCAATCAGATACAGGCAACTCCCCAAACAGGGCTTTCTTCTCAGATGGCCCTAATCTGTAACAGCTTGATGATTAAAGCTAACTAAAATGAGATAATTTCAGGGCCAGGGTTGCAGCCCAGTTGGCAGAGTATTTGCCAAGCACACAGAAGACCCTGGGAACTATCTCTAACACAGCATAAACCAGGAGTGGCGGGCACATTCATAACTCCAGCACTAGGAAAGCAGACCTGAAAAGCTCAAGGTCACTCTTTGCTTCATTAGTGATTTCCAAGCCAGCCTGAGCTGGATGAGACCCTGCCTCAAAATAACAATTCAAAACATAGAACCAAAGCCTAGAGCTAAGATCATTTCTGTAAAAGCCGGCATTGCCAGTGTTGGTTGGCTGAGCCTGACCCAGAATCCTCATCTAGTAAAGAGCTCTGAACTGGTCCTTCTTGACCTTGGCAAGCTTCGGGGGGGAATGAATGGCTATGTTTGGTAGATGGTTTAACAGTGTTTTCCTTCCCCAAGTCCCTTTAGAGATTCATCTTTGAGAAAGCTGTAGACAGTTTTCTATGAAGTACAAGAAAACGTTCCAAACTCTAGGGTCAAGCAGACATGGACACAGGGATGATTGCACAGACTCTGAACTTTCTGCTTTTGCTTTTTGCCTCTGCCCCTTAGCTCATTTTCAATATTTAGCTTCATTCATTTGTGCATGCGTATATTATAGCATATGTGTGCAAATCAGAGGAAAATTTGGGCAAATTAGATCTCTTCTTCCACCCCGCACATCCCAGGATTAAACTCAGGCCATCGGATTGGCAGCAAGCATCTTTGCCCACTGACTATCTCACCAGAACAACTGCCCCACATCCGGTCCTGCTGGACACTTATGCCTAGGGCTTGCTTTCAGCCATCGACCAGAGACTGTAGATAATTAATTTTCTGAGTAAGACTCAATGGAAATCCAATTTTCTTGAAAAGTCAGAGGTGATAAATAACACATGGTCTTTAGGGGGACATTTCAAGTATAAGCTGTACAAAGATATTGATAATAAATTTCGTTCTGTTTTCATAGTTATCTAGCATAGAGATTCTTCACCTGCCGTTCCCCCAGCATATCCCCGTTTAGCATCTCTGCTCTCCCAAAGCGGTGATTCTCAAGGAGAGAAGATGACACAGACACCCCACATGTGTCTCAGTCTGATTCCTATGGGTTAGGTGGTAGGACCCTGTGGCCTTTGAGAAGGTGCCTTTCGGAGACTTTATAACATTGCGTGTTACCTCCCGGACCTGGAGTTTGCTAAACCATTGGTTTTCACCCTTGAGTCATGACAAACTTAGGATTTGCAAGGGCCAATCTCCTGGCCTAGGAAGATCTTATAATGTGTGTGTGTGTGTGTGTGTGTGTGTGTGTGTGTGTGTGTGTGTGCATGCATGCAAGCACATGTGTGCGCAGTGTAGAACTGTAAGGGAGAAGAATGCTTACATGTAACCATGGATTCAGACACAGTTTTAGCCTCCCTTTTAAAGATTTGTTTTTAGTTTTAATTATGTGCATGCACGGGAGTGTATTTAATTATGTGTATGCAGGTACATGTAGAATTGGAGATACAGGAAGTTGTGAGCCTCCTGATGTTGGTGCTGGGAATTGAACTCAGGTCCTCTGCGGTTATGTGCTCTTAACTGCTGAGCCATCTCTTGATCTCACTTTCTCCTTCCGATGTGAGTCTCAGTGGTTACCATCTGATCCCCAGGCCATCAACAGCAGTCTGGGACGTGTTTCTGCCCTGTATCATTAAGGATGGAAAGATTGGGCTGGGAAGGAAGAAGTAAATAGAGTTGACTAAGCATCTGTCATGGTCTCGAACTGTGGAGGATTTCAAAGAGATGGCATCAGATATTAAACCCAGCAGCTCTACAAACAGGTGAGAAGTGCTGGGGCGGAAGAGAAAAAGAATGTGCAGCATGCTCCTCATAGTACAGGGGTCCCGGCTAGTTTTCTTCACAGATATCTGTGTCTATGAAACTAGAGAACACTAGATGCTTGTCTTAGTGTTCTTATGAAAGAAAGCATTCATCTGGGGCTGGTTTACAGTTTCAGAGGTTCAGTCCATTTTAATCATGGCAGGGCACATGGCAGCACACAGGCAGACATGGTGCTCGAGAAGGAGCTGAGAATTCTACATCTGGATCTGCAGGCAGCAGGACGAGAGAGCCACCGACTGGGCTTGACTTGAGCTTTTGAAAATCTCAAAGCCCACCCTCCGAGACACACTTCCTCCAACAAGGCCACACCTTGTGAGTCTTCCAAATAGTGCCTCTTCCGGTGACCAAGCATTCAAATCTGTGAGACTATTGGGGTCATTCTTACTCAAACCACCACAGTGTTGACAGGAAACTAGAAGAGGGTACACTTTAAAAAAAAAACAAAGCAAAACAAAAAAACATTAGTTAGGTCAGTTTTAAGTTTACAGGAAAATTAAGTGAGAAGTACAGAGATTTCACACACACTCCCAGCCTGCCCCACAAGCAACCCTCACCCAGTTTGACTTGGGAGGAGTCACAGGCTGAAGGGCTGAAGGTGTTGCCTTCAGTCACAGACCTGCCCTTTCCTTCCTTGTTCAGCAAGTGAGAGTCACAAGTAGGAGTGATCACAGACCTACCCAGCCACCACTTAATCCTTGGGATGGCTGATGAACCTGCTTCTTCCTTCCTAGCTCAATACCTCCACCCTTAATGCGTTATGTAGACTTGAAAGGGGATTTGAAAAGCCGTAAGGAGAAAGCATCTGAGTTTAAGTGAATCAGAGTCTGGTGAGTTCCAGACTTAGAGCTTTCTCTCTTCCTCCTGTTTTTTTTTTTTCCTTTTCCCTTTTCTCTTGCTTCCATTCTCATTCCTCCCTCCTTTCCTTCCACCATTTTCCCTTCCCTCCCTCCCTCCCTCCCTCCCACCCTCCTTTCTTTCCTTTCTTGGTTGGGTCCAGTGCATGCCAGCTAGAACTCCTCTGCTAAGCTATATTCTGAGCTTATTGTATACATTTCTGGTATACTATATGACGTTTATACTCTAGTGAGAGCCATTATTAAATATGAAAGAGAGAATTTCATGTGTTTATATTTTTTTATTTGTATGTGTATAAGTGCTTTCCTACATGCATGTATGTGTGCCATGTGCGTGCTTGGTGCTCACGGAGGTTAGATAAGTGTTTGTGACGCCCTGGAACTGGAGTTGTAGACAATTGTGAGCTGCCATGTGGGCGCTGGGAACTGAACCCAGGTTCTCTACAGGAGCATCAAGTACTCTTAATCTCTGAGCCATCTCTCTGGCCTAGGTTTTGGGTTTATTTTACCTTTCTTTTTTTTTCTTTCTTTCTTTTTTTCTAAATAGATATAATTTAAAGTAGGATTTTGAAACTAGCCTTATATTGTCAACCCCCTGGTGGGTTATCACATCGGTATATTAGGGTTCAACTTTTAGCAGCATTTTTTTTTAAAGGAACATTTGGACAGAAAATAGTAAAGGCGGGTGTGTTTTGTAAAAGTTTTGAGTTGTCTATCTATGTGAATGTGTATTTGGGTGTGATATGAAATGCATTTTTTACCGTGCTAAAAGAGTTTGAAGATATTGGTGTCATGCCTAATGCGTTCGTGGTTCCATTTAAATGCCAAATGCTGTCTCTACTCACCCAGTTACCCTTTCAATTAGTCTCCTTTCTGCGGAGACTATTGTGTTGGAATAGAAATTAGAAGTTTAAATAAATATTTGCCCTGGGTGTACTAAAACTGAGGCAGCAATATACTTAATTATACAATAAACTCTCCAATCCTCCAAACCACTGTTTTTTGTAGCCGTCCCCAGATTATTTTGAAGATCCTTTAGGCGTACATCGGAAAGGGGTGGGGACATTCTAAAATTGTTGATGGGGATGGAAGGGACTTTTACACACCCAAGACATCTCTAGAACAAACAAGGTCTTCTGTAGATCAGCGTGTCAGGATGAACAGATTTGTGCATGATTACCCTAGAAGATGCTACCTCGGATGTCGGTAAGGGCACCTGGGGAACAGCCAACACAGGACAAGGTTTCCTCTGATTTCACCTTCTTTTTTAAAATTCCCAGTTCTCCAGAACACGTAGCTGGAACCCTTCCCCAGACATTCTACCTACAGAGGAGACTGAAGCACATAGCAGGAAGGAGACCAGAGTTGACATCACAGCTGGAGGCCGTATGACATTTGTCCCAGCCTAATTGTCTTTTGGGTTCATTTATGGCCCCTAAACATGATTTACTTTATCTTTAAAATTGTATCTTCATTGCTCCTAAACTTCTCCGGTTACCCAAGAGTGAGCAGGCAACACCCCTACATGTGTAATAAACGTGTACTTCTCTTGTTGACGAATATATTACAGTTCTTTCCTGAGACTCATTATGGAGTTCAAAGCAGAGGGGAGGTGTTCTTGCTTCTCCCCAGCATACAATTGAACACATAGCGCAAGCCTGCTGGCCATTTCCTCTGCTCGCTTCTCAGCCACTCAGCTGGCGTGATGCAGGGCACAGGCTGGCTGATTACTGGACAGGCTTATCTGGAGGCTGGTTATCTCCACGGGGTCCCTCTGGAGCTCCTAGAATTTGTGGAGTGGGGTTGTGTCAAAGGGAACGCATGCTCGGCTGCCACCTGCAGCCAGAGAGGGAGGGTGTGGAGGTGCCTGCCTGGGCCAAGAAGCCCGCTCAGGCTGCTGCTTGGGCACCAGAGGCTGGCGGCAAGGCTGTAAGAGCTCCATTGTCCCTTTTGGCTTTCAAGCACACCAAGCCCTGATTTGATGACTAGTTAGTTTAAGATAAAACGTCAAGGAAATCAATGGTTCATTAACCCTTCTTTAAGAGCTCAAAACAAAGCAAAATGAGAAACCCCAAGACATTAAGCTACATGCCTTCCCACTCCCATGTGAAGCTGATTTTGCCCGGAAATGTTATTTGCATGGAGTCTGAGATTTAGAAAGCTCCCTTGTAACTCAAGGACTCCCCCCCTCCCCCCGCTAGTTTTAATTTTTATTCCAGTCAAGGTCACTTGCCTTTTCTGACTGCACCGTGGCTCTCCAGATTCAGAATCAGACACATGGTTATCCCATTTGGGAACTGACCTTTTTTGTTTGTTTTTGTCCTTGTCTCCTCTCTTTCTCTCTTCCCAATTTATTATTTGACATGACAAGTACAAAGAAGTGCCGGAAGGAAGGGCACAGCTTCTTGTTAACCTCGTCCACCTCCAGCAAGCCTGGGGATACCTCTGTACATTCGAGACTCTTTGACTATACCCTCTGCCCTCCCGGCTTCTCTGTTGTGTGCAGATCTGAGAAGGACAGTCACAACTGGAGGGAGGAATTTACCTAACGTTGGACTTCGGGGGGGAACGAGTGCCCGTGGGTACGTCCTGCCTTCTTTCCCTAGCAACTCAGAGATAGCTTGTGACCTTTGAGCTCTCAGTGTTGGTGAGGGGGTGTGAACAAGAAAGACAAAAGGAGCCGGTCACTGAGGTAGATGGGCTCATTCCCCCCCCCCCCCGTTTTTTTCCAGATGCAGTAGCTGGCAGGGAGGAGGGCTGCCTCTGTGACGTCTCAGCTGCTAACCTGATGGAATGTCTCAGCCTCCTCATTTCCTGTCATCTTTCTATTTAATCATTAACCCAGCGGCCCAGGAGCTGGCAGGGCAAGGAGACAGGACTGAAACAAGCGAGCGTGTCCCCGGGAGAGTAGACAGGCATGGCTTGACAGGATAATGTCCTCACTTGATAAACGGAGGGGCTCACTGCCAGCTGCCCGCGTCCTGCCTGCCGTTCTGCGGCAGCCATCTGACTTCTCAGAGCCCGAGAGCGGCTAAGCATTTCCGGACCTCCAGTTGCTGAGGGTAGCTGAGAGTTCATTGCATGCCTGCTTATAATTTTGCCTGCTTCTTAGTCGAAAAGTTGTTCATGCTCCAGACTTGGGCCCTGGAAGTAGCAACTACGGGGAATGGTGGAGATGGTAGGGAAATCCCTGTCCCCTGTTCTTATCACCCGATCACATCACACTATTGTTCAGTTTGTCTGAAAACCGCTTAATGCTTTCCAGAGGGAGGTTTTTGTTTTGTTCTGTTTTTATTTTTTGCCCCTATAGTGGTAAATATATTATGTATTTTTTTTCTAACAAAACTTTATCATATTTATGCTAGGTCTCAATACCAGGACAAATGGCTAACTGAGGTAATATTAGCATATCAAAGGGACCGGCTGCTCTCTGCCTCACTGCTGTCTTCCTAGGCACAGCCAGTACCTTGCCATCTACCCTAAGCTTCTCCAGCCCAGGGAAGTGGGCTTGGCTGTCCTTCCCGAGCTGCTCTTCCCTATATAACCCAGCCATGTTGGCTACAAGGTCCTTCTGGCCCTCTTTTGGCCCCTTGCCCTCTTGGCCGCTGCCCCTGGTCCTCCTCTTTCCTGCTCTCTCCCCTCCCTCCTCCCGTCACGTGGCTGGTTCAGTTGGCAGGTCACGTTCAGTCCTGACCCTTCCGGAGGCCTGGCTATGCTCTCCTTTTATCTACAATAAACCTAGGAGCAGTCATGGCCGCCCCTTTTCTTTCTTTTTTTTTTCTTTCAATTTATAATGTACTTCAGTGGATTGTTGGATATAAAGGACAATAAACTGGTAGCTAACTAATAACTAAATAACTGTTAGCTAACTATACTTCAGCATAAATTATTTTAGAATTTTTGTCCCCGACAAGCTACGTTTAAAAAAGAATATAAATGTACACACACACACACACACACACACACACACACACACACAGATGCCGGAAGTATAAAATAACAATAGAAAATTCTAGAGCCCCAGTGAGTTGTTTGTAAAGGGAAATATTATTGTTTTAAGTTCAGGTGATAGGGTGTGTGAATTAAACTAACAAAAGGCCAGTAACCAGTTCATATTTCTTTGTATGGCACTTCATAGAGAAGAAGAGAAATTAGAAGAGCGGTTGGGATTTATATGAAGGAAAGAAAAGGGTTTGCGGTCAAAGGAAGGACACGCTGTAAGAAAACGACTAGACCTTGTGAGTAGGGACCATGGGACAAGAACAGCTGTTCATTGAGGTCTACTTTCTGTCAGCTCCTATCTTCAGTGAGATTTTTCAGGCAGATGAGGAGGAAGCTAAGATGTGTCCCAAATATTTCCCCTTCCTTTTCCCTACATATTTTGACTCTACGTTGTAATCAACTCAAAATAATCCTTTTGCCGAAATGGTGCTTTGAGACAGCTGTTGAGAAGCCACTGTGTGATGGGGGGCTGTGCTGTAGCTGAAAGAAAGATCTGCCATGAAAGGCTAGACAGGCTTGATGCTCTAGAAAACGGTCTGATCAGAGGAGGCATCCCCTTTAGCCTCCCTCTACCCCCAACAACCCTGTGTGGTGTCTACCTTTAACGGTGGTAGCATCTTGATTGGCCACCATGAAACACAGTTCTCAGTCAGGGCTGCTATCCTTGAATGGCTAAGGGGAGGTTCATTAGGTCCTCGCCGGAGAGTCCAGTTCCCTGTCTCCTGCCCTCAAGTTGCATGTGGCCTTAGGGGTGAAGCTAGAATATTTAGGAAGTGGGAGGTGACCTAGGGTTGTGTCTCTGCAGTGGTCCAGCTTTCATGGGGAGGCACTCAGTGATGCTATGGCCTGTGAGACGCCCATCCCTGTAGCGGGCTTTACGTCTCTCCAGGAAAAGTAATGCAGCAGATTAGCAGCTAAACCGGGACTCTTCCAAATGGGCCCTGCCATGGGCAACTGTGCAGGCAACCGAGGCTGAGACATTTCAGGGTGAGGCGTCTGAGAAACATGCTTCGTCATGCTTCATGGGATGGAATGCATCCTTGCTGCGGTAGCAGTGCATGGCCTTCGCTCTGGGCAGTGAGGCAGGCTACTGGGGCCGAGTAGTCTGCCGGGTGGGAACTGGCGGGGAGGCTAAAGTTTGACTTGACAGGAAAAGTGGGTATTAGGGAGGATGAGATGGAGTTTGCCATGTCTCATGGCCTCTGGGGAGCATAGGGAAGAGAGAGTACAAATTATAACTGCACTAAATAGATCCTCAGATCTGAGTGAGAAGCACTGGATATAGAAGAGAGGAAGAACAAGGTTCAACTGAGAGTGAATGGATGGGCGTCAAAGAGTCAGTGCTTAAGGCCAGATTCTGCTCACCTAATAGTTAAAGGAACGGTCAGCGGGGGCTGGAGAAATGGTTCAGCGGTTAAGAACACTTACTGCTCTTCCAGAGGACTTGGGTTCAATTCTCAGCACCCACAGGGCAGCTAACGACTGTCTCTAACGCCAAGATCTGACACCCTCACACAGACAGGCATGGAGGCAAAATACTAATGCAAATGAAATACAGAGTAAATAAATTATATATAAAAAGAAAAAGGTAGTTCACTGGGGACCAGTCCTGCTCAGCAGATCTTCACAGTGGGGCACGATCTTTGCAAGACAGGAGCTCTGGTGGATCTGAGTCAGATCTGTGTGTCGATCCAGTTTGTCAAGAATGAGTGGGAAAGGGGAAAGTATGTGATAGTTTGGGTTTCTCAGATGCCAACATGGCAAGGTTTGTGATGAGCCAGAGTTCCTAAGGAAGCCATCGAGAATACCCAGATTCTGCACTGTGAGCCCGTAGCCTTTAGAGCCTGCACAGCATTTTACAGGAAAGGTGAGCAACAGCGGTGTGCAGGTCATCTCTGCAGCCCCTGCTGTGGAGGCAGGAGTCAACCTGAGGCAGAACTGTCCCAGTCGGTCCCCTGTAGGGTAGCCAAGGTTGCCTGCCATCTGACGAGGCATTGTTTCAAGTGCCCACGTAAGAACAATTGAAGCAGGCAGGTGTAGCCTCCACTCTCAGGAAACTGTGATAAGCAAACAAATACATAGTGACGTCATTGCATTGAGTGTCCTGTGGAAGGTGAATGGGGAAATGCACTGGTGGGGTGGGGTGGGGGGCGTTGACTGGCGTTGACTGTCCGGGTGGGGGGAACTGGGCATATAAACTACAGAAGCTTGACTGAGGGCTTGCTGGCTTTTCTAGCTCACCCATTTTGGGAGCAGGGGCTCTGGGTTTCGAGCCATCTCCGTGGAATTGCAGGTAGGAGTGGCCTCGCAAGTTCCCCTCGTTCAAAGGCAAGCCACTGGAGTTTTCTGGATTGGCGGCAGCTGTCCTGGAGCAGGGCCAGCGCACCTGCACTGTGAGGTCCGCTGCAGCCCTCCCCTCCCTCCTGGGATTACCAGGGACTTCAGGGGAAGCATTTGTCAAATCCTTTCTGGTAACATTCTTGGATAACTTCTTATTCTGGTTGTGTGATGATTATACTAGAACCGACTTTTTGAAGGTCTTTCATGATTACTTGATCACTAGCTTCAGGTGGGGGTGTGACTCTGCCAAGTAATAGAAATATTTCTCTTTCAGTTTAGCTGTTGACCTGACTTGTCAGGAGAATGCTCTTTCAAAAGATACATCTATGAAATTCCATTTCTGGGAGGGGGGCGGGATTCTGGATTTGCATGGAACATTGTAAGTGTCAACTGCCCGGCTCCCACTGCTGGCTTGAATGGCCATCACTGTCTATGCCCCCCTCTCCCCAAGTTCATTGCATTGACCCATCCAGCACAGGTGGGGGTTCTGTTTTGTAATAATTGAAGTCACACCCCTCTTATCTGTCTTCCTTCCCCTTTCTGCAGGGAACACTTCCCACTTTTCAAGGCTGTGCTGAAGTGCCAACCCCTTCCCTTGTTTTCCTGGGATGCTCTGAGTCAGTCTTTCTGTGGCTGGTCCCTGGAAGGTCTGAGATCCCTGGAAGGCAGGATGAGAGCGGGTGGCAAAAAGGGACTGGGTACCGAGAGCATCTCTAATGGGTCCCTTTTCATACAACTGGGAATTGACACAAAGCACCAAGGAAACAAAATAATTCCCAATGAAGGCTAGCTTGATGTCTTTAACCCCTGTGTCTTCAGGACCTAGACACAGTGGGTATTAAGTAGATTTGTATTGGAGGATGCGCTCAGCAAGTTACCTCTAGTGACATTCTGACCCTTTTAGGTCCCTTTCTCATCAAGCGCGGCTAGGGATTGTCTCTTGAGGAAGGGGCAAGGAGAGGAATGAAGGAGGAAGGCTGGGCTCCGGGTCCCTGGCTGTGGCCGATGTGTCTTTTTTCCAGAAGCAGAGCACTTTGGGAGTGATGAATGATACAGAAACATGCTTCCAGCAGCCAGCTGGCCCCATACCAGGTCTTTGTGAATACCAGCCAGAGGCAGCGTTGGTCTCCTGCCAGGCTAGGGACCGTAGGGGCACGTCTCAGGTTCTCAGCCCTCACATGGAGCTTTTCCCAACTCACAGCTGTGGCAGCCCCAGACCAGGGTTGGTCCCTTCTTTGTCATGTTCCTCAGAGGAGCTTCGTAGGCAGAGCTGACTCCGTTCCCTCTGCCTGTGTGTGTTTGCTTTGGCAAGCTCCAGGTATTCCCTCCTATCTCCTCTGCTCACCTGTCTTTGATCCCAGTTTTCTTTCCCCGCTGCTTGCTTCTTGTCCCTGGAGGTGCAGAAGACATGCTTGCTTTGGAAGAAACACCTGGAGGCTGTTATTAGGTTACTTAATGGGGGTCTGGATGAACTGAGCTGTGTGTCTTAAAAATCTCTTGTCCTTTTTTTTCTTCAGCTATCTTCCACTGAACCAGTCTGGGAAAGACAACTGTCAGGAATTAGAAACTTGAGGCAGTGACATAGAGGGGTGTCACTGTGTTGTCCTGATTTTGGCGATGTCTGTGTTTTCATAGTTTATTCTGCATTGAAGAGTAGTGGTTTCTTAAAATTCACGCACAGTATGCATCAATAGACTTTTTTTTTTCTTGAGAAAAAGTTTTGCTACGTAGCTAAGGCTGCCTTCAAACTCAGGACCCCACTTCAGCCTCCCAAGTGCTGGGATTACAGGTATATTCCCACACCCATCTAATCGCCTGTGGTTTCTCTCTTGGAATGTCTCAGGTAGCCCAGGTTGGCTCCAAACTCACAAATTAGTTGAAGGTGACCTTGAATGCACAGTGATGGCGGGTATAACCTAGAACACCATGCCTGCTAAGCCAGTAAGCCACATCCTTACTCTGGTTTTTCTTTTTTGGTAGTGGGCAAAATATCAATTTCTTCCAGTAGATGGAATATTAGGTTTGATGAAATACAGAAAATATCTCCATTTATTTCCCCAGGGTTTTGATTTTAGTGCTTTATTTTGGGGGTTGCGGAGTGGGAAGTGCTTGGTATTAACGATGCAGATGAATCTTTAACTTTTTTTAAATTCCATTTTTTTGGTATGTGTGTAGAAAATGTGCATGTGTAGAAGTCATGGGGCAACTTGCAGGAATTGGTTCTTTCCTTCCACCATGTAGGTCCCAGGGATTGAACTCAGGTCATCAAATGTGAAGACAGAGGGCTTGACTCACCGAACTATTTCCCCAGCCTGAGAAAAGCGCTTCTATGATCAACTCATTTTGAAATGTGCACCTAGTCATCTTGATAATGATTTGAAACACGTGGGGTAGATTTCCACGAAGATAGAAAGGAGCAGGACAGGGCAGCCCGGCTTCTGGTCTGACTTTGGCTGCAGGTGACTGGAAGACCTTGGGTGGGTAACTTTGTGACTGTGACCTTTCTTCTCTTCTGTAAAATGGTGGGCGAGTGGGCCACTGGGCAAGGTGTAGGTTTTCTTTCTACCACCGTGAACTGTTATTTAGTCACAGCGGGGTTAGTCCTCCTCAGAGAGCAGTTATGTCATAAGGATCCCCGAGACTTGTCACCATGGGTTAGCTCACGGTCCTCTGTGAGCCGATGGTCTCAGAACACGAGTGAACAAGAAGAGCTGAGAGTCAACAAGTGGCCCTGTGCTGCCTGTGTGCTGTGACCCGAACCGAGACCCTTCCCTAAAGGTCAAAGTCTTCAGCACCTGTGACCTTTGGCAAGAAGGACTTAAAGATGATCTAGTTAAAATGACATCATTAGAGTGGACCCTAATGCAGTGTTAATGTATTGTTAGAAAAAGGGGAAATCTGGGCGCAGAGACAGACAAATGCATAAGAAAGGGCTGGGTGGATGTGAAGGCTGAGATTTGATTGTACACACCAAGGAACACCAAAGATTGCCAGCAAACCACAGAAGCCAGGTGAGCGAGCGGTGGACGATTCTTCCTCTCAGCCTTCGGAAGGGACCACTTTCAGCCTGGTGAGACCTTAGGTTCCCAGCCTCCGGGGCCATGTGTCTTAGTTAGTTAGGGATTTCTATTGCTGTGAAGAGACACTGTGACCACCACAACTCTTATATAGGAAAACATTTAATTGGGGTAGTAGTTTACAGTTCAGAGGTTCAGTTCAAGTTGTAGATTGAATGTAATTGGCCTCCATAATCTCATAGGGAGTGGCTCTATTAGAAGGTGTGGCTTTGTTGGAGCAGGTGTGGCCTTGTGAGGGGAAGTGTGTTACTACCTGGGTGGGCCTTGAGGTTTCCCATACTCAGGACACTGCCCCGTGTCTTAGTCCATTGTCATCATGGTGGGAAGCAAGGCAGGATGCAGGCAGATATGGTGCTGGAGAAGAAGAAAGTTCTTACATCTTGACTCATTGGCAACAGGAAGTGATTTCACTAGACGTGAGCCCAAAACCCACCTCCACAGTGACACACTTCCTCCAGCAAGACCACACATCCTAATAATGCCGCTCCCCTTGGAAGCCATTTTCTTGTTTTTCCATTTATTTATTTATTTATTTATTTATTTATTTATTTATTTATTTATTTATTTATGTTTCTTTGAAGCTTTGGAGCCTGTCCTGGAACTAGCTCTTGTAGACCAGGCTGGCCTTGAACTCACAGAGATCCGCCTGCCAATGCCTCCTGAGTGCTGGGATTAAAGGTGCATGCCACCACAGCCTGACAAGCGGGGCATTTTCTTTTAAAGCACCACACCACGGAATAATACATTTCTGTGTTTAAGCCCCTCCATGGGTGGAACTTTGTCCTGGCGGCCCTGGGACACTGCTCCTACTGTGGGCACATCGACTCATTTGATTCCTCATTGTCTTTATTGGTTAATTCCTGAGTAGCCAGTGCTACACAACAATATAATGGAAACGTCTTGCCTCTGCTTTGCTAGGGAAGGCTAAGATGAATAATAGACAGACAAGTATGTCCCGTGTCAGGTGGTAAAATAAGGGGCAGGGAGAAGCGAGGCTGGGTGGGCGGCAGGGAGTTACTGCGCTGTGTAGCTGTGATGGTGAATATGTGGGTTCTCTTCTAGTTTCATCCTGTTGTGAGCAAAACAAAACTCTAACTTGGGGATGATACAGCTTATTTGGCTTATAATTCCAGATCTCAGTTCCTTTCGGTGGGAAGTCAGGAAAGGAATTCAAAGCTGAAGCTTCATGGAGAAACTAGGAAGGGCTTCTGCTTATGGCTTGCTCTCCTACATGCTCCTTATCTAGCTTCCTCAAACAGCCTAAGACTGCCTGCTGACTGTACTGCTCCCAGTGGGCTGGGCCCTCCTATGTCAATTAACAATGAAGCCCCAAAGACTTGCTTACCGGCCATTTTGATATAGGCAATTCCTCAGATGAGGGTTCCTCTCCCAAGGAGACTCCATGCCGTTGCAAGTTGACAATAAAAAGTAGCAAGCACAAAGTGTCAACTTCACAGAATCTGGAATCACTTAAATAAACCTCTGGATGTGTCTGTGAGGGAGTTCCTAGGTTGAGATCAGGGAAAGTATGCCTTAAGTGTGGGTGGCACCCTTGCGTGAGCTGGGATCCTGGGCCAAGTATAGAGGAGAGAGGAGGTTAAGCACCTCTCTCTCTCCCCTTCCTGGCCGTGGATGCGATGGGGACCAGGTGCCCCACACTCCTGCAGCCACGACTTTTCTACAACAGTGGATTCTACCCTTCTTTAAGTTCTTTTCATGAAGTGTTGTTGCTGTGGCAACAGGAAACACAAAAACTAGTACAGTAGAGAATGAAGCACATACACAGCAGGAACATTGCTGTGTCCCTACAAGCAGCATGAAGGCAGGCTCTGAGCACACTCACCAAGCAAGGACTTGGAAGTCTTCTTTTGTGTGCTGAAGCTTAGCCACATCAAGGTACTCGCCAAAGGTTATGCAAACAGCGAAGGAAGCCACAGGGTTTAACCCAGGATGTCTAAAGACTCATGGTTTATTTTGTACCACGATGTGGTATTGCTAACCGCCATAATGGCTCGTTGGTCTCTCTATATATGTGATAGCAAAAGCTTTTCATTCATCCGTGCCTCTGCCGTCTTCAGTATTTCTGCTCACAGTCTACCCTCAGTTAGGAAGATGGAAAGTAGACCTTTTCTACTTCCCAGCAGTCTAGCTTCTAATACAAACATGCCAAGTGGTCTTATGACATTTGGGGAAAACAGACTTAGTCAAAGTGCTCTGGCCAATCAGAAAACAGAATTTCTTTCCTGATGATGATGATGCCATGAAGCCCTGGATGAGGCACCCTGGGGGGGGGCTTTGTCTCTGGAAATGCAAGATGTGTAGCAAGAGGTTGTTCATCTTGCTGGCTGGAGCATCCATCTTTTGCAGGTGTGAGGCCACATCAGCTAGTAGGACTTAGGTCCATCTGCCGCTTTGTTTACAGCTGGGAAGGAGAGTAGAGGATTGCAAAAGGGGAAGTGGCTACAGCATGCTGTAGGCTCCCTACCCCTCATGCGCTCATCCTGCTTGCTCCTCCCGATCAGCGCCAAGATCTTTCCCCACTGAACGTTCTTGCCGGCCCTTCCCATTGTTTTAAACAACCCTAAAATGATGTACAATTTAGTTTCTATGACAAACACATGAATTGAGTCTCTACCCCTTCTCCCTTCCCCAATCCTCTACAGATGTAGAAACAGGCATCACAGTGTTATGGTTAAAAGCATGAGAGGGTGGGGCTATGGGATGGCTTCTTATGGTTAGGCTTCTGGTTCTCCACAGATATGTGAACTCAGGTCACTAATTTGATCTTGATTTTTTTCTCATTTGTAAAATGAAAATCATAATAATTCCCTTTCTTGTGGGGCAACTGTGTTGATTGAATGACTTAATTAATGGTAGTAACCTGCACAGACTTCAGCACATGTTTGCTGGGTGTATTAAGCATGAGATGTTTCTGAGCTATCCTCGGATGTCTTGTCCGTCCCAGCCCCGGGATGGGAAGTTCTCACAGGTTCCATAAGGCCACCAGAACTAAGTTCACCCTTGCATCTCATGTTTCTTCCTTTTCATGAGGAAGAGGCCCCATATTCATCCCCAGAATCTTTGCTGCTTTCTAGGCTGAGCTCAAAGGTTCTCCTGGGATCACAGAGTCAGTCCTCTTCCGGTCCGTAACTCCAGAGACCGTTTTATTGATGCTTTCTCTATCCTCTCTCTCTAAAGGAGGGAACTTGGAGCCGTCTTCTCTTGGATCCAAGACTTTCCATCTTTCCTATGTGAGCCTAGAGAACTGTTTATACTAACGTGTCGACAAGGACGTTTCAGAGAATCACCAGTGAGCCTATCTTCTTTTAAACAAGTCCCTTTAACTTGCTGGAACAATTTGTTCTCTCTCTGGTAAAGATTCTGCCATTTTTTTTTTCAAATGTCACAACGAATGAACACAGATAGCAATAGTCTCTTGTGTTTTAGGAAGAAAAACCTTGTGAGAAAATTATCAGAGAAGCAGCAATTTTATTGGTTTCCATAGACTTTCATATTATTTTAATGGAGGAGTCAGGGAAAATATAAATAAAAATATTGTTTTAAATGTATTTGGGGGGATTGTGATTGTTCTGTAGTTGTGGGGAATGGAAAGTCTCTACTGAACTTCTCTGAGAAAATCTGTAATATTATTGTTGTTATTATTTTTTTTAATCACTTTCTGGAATAGCATCTGACACTTTATTTTATCCTCCTCAGAAGAAATGGGTGAGTAAGTCTCCCGCCAGATTACTTTCTCTGTAGGTTTTTGTGCAAATGAAACACACACCAGCCTGGAACATAAAAAAGACCTTTGGTATTTGATGTTGGAAAAATGGCCTCGTGGATCCAGGGCTCTTTAGGAGTCATGGATTCCGGAAAAGAATTACTGAGACAAAGAAGTCAAAATTACCCAGGAACCTGTGGGAGTTTGTTGAGGTAAGGACAGCTCTTGGCTACTTGTGTATAGGGAGCTCTGTGTCACCAACTCTTTGTTGATCAGTCTTTCCCTTTTGTGAGGGAGGATCCATAACGCAATTTATGTGACCCCGGAGTCTTCTGTCCTGCTTTCTTGAAGCCCTCCTCTCCTCTCTGATCAGATGGCCTCCTCACCTGGTCCAATTCAAAAACTGAATCCAGGAACAGAACGAGGCGTTACTGTGTTCCTGTCTAAGTTAAAGGCAGACTCTGAGAGCCCGTTCCTCTCTCATGTTTTTAAGGAGGCTGGAGAGAGGGTGTGAGACAAAGTGTTACATTGTCCCATTGGCAAAGTGTTACATTGTCCCATTGGCGTCTCAATGGCAAAGCAGAAAGCTAGTGGTCCATTTTCTTTGGGATTTGGGCTCATGGTTCTTTAGCTAGCCTTGCCCTTCACCTAGAAAAGTAAGGGTTACATGTGAAACTCAGACGAGAATTTTCCTACCTGTCACTTAACAGTACAAATAATAACTTTAATGTCATGTAGAAAAGACACTGCTGCATGACAGGAAGCCCTCCAAGTCAAAGCCCAGCTCCACAAAGTGGACGAGTAGCCGAGACAGGCACATCAAGCAGTTCAGCTTCTCCAGATCAGAGCTTTAGCTTTGTGAAATCTCCCATGGTTCATACATGGAATCAGCTCCCATGCAGCTCAGAAACTGGAACACAAAGCATTCTCTTTGGGCTCGTAGTCATCTCAAAATAACGTCGCTTAATTATATGTCACGGGCTGCTTGATGAGTATCTGTTGGGTTTGGCAGATGTCATTAGCCAGGAACAATTGCATGTGGCCATTTTTAATTATACCAGCTTCGTGCTCGCAGTGGCCATTGGAAGAAAACAAACCATTTTTGCTGAGCAGGCACATTTTGCTTTTAAATAATATCTATTTTATTTCTGCTGCCACCTGTAGGCAGATTTTTCTGTCCCAACAGCCAGCTCCCAAATAACCACATAGAGACTTATTATTAATTATAAAAGCTCGGCCACTAACTTAGGTGGTATAGGAGGTCCTTATGTCTTTGTGTTGCTTTCATTGCTTAATAAAGAAACTGATCTGGGCCTGTTGATAGGGCAGAACTTAAGTAGGCAGGGAAGGCAGAACAGAATGCTGGGAGAAGGAAGGGCAGAGTCAGAGAGACGCCATGGAACCACTGGAGACAGATGCTGGGAATTTTACCTGGTAACCCACTGCCACGTGGTGATACACAGATTAATAGAAATGGGTTAAATTAAGATGTAAGAATTAACCAGTAAGAAACAAGAGCTAATGGGCCAAGCAGTGATTTAATTAGTACAGTTTCTGTGTGGTTATTTTGGGGCTAAGCTAGCCGGGCAGCCAGGATGAACAAGCAGCCCCTCCTTGCAACTCTTAGGTGTGTTACTAACTGGTTCTTACATCTTAAACTCACCCATTTTTTAGACATCTGAGTTCTACCACACGACTCAGTGCCTTTTGTCAGTAGAGCGTGCTCATTTGCTTCTCTTTGTGTCTCCTGGCAACTCTGCCCTTCTTCCTCCCAGAGTTCTCTTTGTCTGGCTCTCCCCACCTAACCTCTTCCTGCCTAGCTATTGGCTAGTTAGCTCTTTATTAAACCAATGAGAGAAACACATCTTCAAAGAGTACAAAAGGGTTGTTCCATAGCAGCCCCCAGCACAGTCTCTTGCTAGGTGTCCCAGNCCCTGGAATTAACTCTGTAGACAAGGCTGGCCTCGAACTCAGATATCCACCTGTCTCTGCATTCACTGCTGGGATTAAGGAGGCGCGTCACCACACTCTTGTTTTGAAACGTCTCTTTTCCTTATACACCTGTATCGGCAACCTCTTGCAGCAAACAACTGGTCTGGATTAGGCTAAGGCAGTTTACCCGCAACTTTATGCAGCACATGATCGAGAGGAGGACGAATTAGAACCTGCTGACTCACACGTGGCTCTCAACTTGGAAAACACGTGGGAGAGCTTAACACAGTGCAAGGACACAAAGTGACGGTGGTTATATTTCCGGGATGCATAATCCAGATGTTATTCTGGGCAGATAAACTCGGCTATATTTTCAGCTCTGAGCAGCAGCAAATCCTGCCTCGGTATGGCTTCAACCACAAAGAACACGTGTCTTTGAATTTACAGAGCTCCACATGTCTCAGCCTCATAAGTGGTTTTTAAATATAAAGCAAATAAAACCACCCTACAAATCACAATCCCAGAGAACCTACCCAACAATGAGGACCCTAAGAGAGACATGCATAGATCTAATCTACATGGGAAGTAGAAAAAGACTTCTACTGAGCAGAAAAAGATCTGCTGAGTAAATTGGGAGCATAGGGACCTTGGGAGAGGGTTGGAGGGGAAGGGAGAGGCAGGGAAGGGAGCAGAGAAAAATGCAGAGCACAATAAAAATCAATAAAATAATAATAATAAAAAAGAAAATAGTTCTTTTAAAAACTGCCTCTGATTTTTCCACTAGACGAGTCAAGCAGTAACGTCGCGGTCTGTCACAGATCTTCACTTCTGAGATGGACCAATTGGATATCACGGAGGACACAGCTAAAAGAAGGACATAACCAGGGTCTTTGGTAATGACGAGCCATGGGCTTCACCACCGGAAGTCAGTCGTGCTACCAGAGACACGTGTTCTTTGTGGTTGAAGCCATACCGAGGCAGGATTTGCTGCTGCTCAGAGCTGAAAATATAGCCGAGTTTATCTGCCCAGAATAACATCTGGATTATGCATCCCGGAAATATAACCACCATCACTTTGTGTCCTTGCACTGTGTTAAGCTCTCCCACGTGTTTTCCAAGTTGAGAGCCACGTGTGAGTCAGCAGGTTCTAATTCGTCCTCCTCTCGATCATGTGCTGCATAAAGTAGCGGGTAAACTGCCTTAGCCTAATCCAGACCAGTTGTTTGCTGCAAGAGGTTGCCGATACAGGTGTATAAGGAAAAGAGACGTTTCAAAACAAGAGTGTGGTGACGCGCCTCCTTAATCCCAGCAGTGAATGCAGAGACAGGTGGATATCTGAGTTCGAGGCCAGCCTCGTCTACAGAGTTAATTCCAGGGTTACACAGGGAAATCATGTCTTGGAAAACAACTACAACAAAACGAAACAACAACAACAAAAAAGAAGAAGACAGAAACTCATTTTTCTGTTGTTGTTTTTGTTTGTCCAGACAAGGTTTCTTTGTGTAACCCTGGCTGTCCTGGAACTCACTCTGTAGACCAGGCTGGCCTCAAACTCACAGAGATCCACCTGCCTCTGCCTCCCGGGTGCTGGGATTAAAGGTGTGCGCTGCCAAAGCCCCACAAGAAACTCATTTTTATTTTTAAAAAATGATTTATTTAGTGAGTGTGTGTTTGTGTTTGCATCTGTGTAAGATTATGCTATGTGGTGTGTGTGTGTGTGTGTGTGTGTGTGTGTGTGTGTGTGTAGGATGGGTTCATGCACAACGTGGTTGGGATGTGGAGGCCCAGGGACTACTTAAAGTCATTGGTTCCCTTCTCCTACCGTGTGTATCCAGGAGATCTAACTCAGGTTAGATCTAACTTAGGTTAGATTAACCAGTCTTGCCAGCGGGCACCTTTACCTGTTAAACCATCGTGCCAGCCCTAATTTATCTGAAATAACTTGGTAAAGTTATCTCAGCACATGCTTTGATTTATTTATTTTGGCTTTTCTACACAGGGATTCTCTGTGTAGGTTTGGAGCCTGGAACTCACTCGGTAGAAAACTCACAGAGATTCATCTGCCTCTGCCTCCTGAGTGCTGGGATTAAAGAAATGCACCACCACCACCTGGCTTAAATTGAGATGGTTTACCATATATCTGGCTTTTGAGGAGAGCATTTAAGCCAAAGGGAGACTGGTATGGTTCACAGATGCACCCGTCCCTGTGCAGTTAAAAGATCAGTCCTGTGCAATTCTTTCCTTTCAAGATTATTGTATAGCGTGAATGAACCTTTCTCAGAAATGGCAGCTCTTCCCTTTGTAATCCTTCATTGCTTCCTCAGCTGACTGAAATGGCTGCTCACGGTCTTCTCCAACCACTTCTAAGGGATGTTAAGCAAACAAGTGTAGCCGAAAGAGGTGACTAAAGATCCCTTTGTTCCTGATCATGCCTGTTAAGAAAGAATGCCACTGTCCTTGGGACTCCCTTGAGTGGGTTCAGGATCTTCCCTCTTCCTGTAGCAGAACTGACCCATTCTCTCAGCGCTGTGTGAAAAACCAGGTCAGCTCCCACCGAGTGAGCCCTGCTGTCGGTGCCCTACAGCCATCTCTGGTCTCCTTCATCCAGACAGGCAAAAGGCTAACAGCCCAGACAAGAGGTTTTGTTGATTCCTTCTGCCCAATGCAAACTTGTTTCAGACTAGGTAACAAGAGTTACCTGGGGTCAGAAGGTTCAGAACGTTGAAATAACATGTATAAGGTGACTCGGCTGCAGCCTGCAGAAGTGATGTCTTGTTTGGGGGAAGTGGCAAAGAAATAGAGCCACGCGGTTGTCGGGAAGTAGAGGGAGAGATTTTCACGCGATTATAGTTTGCACACCATATCTCATTATCTGTCCAAATGCTGTGATATGATCCGGATGACTTTTCAATACCTAAAGCATGAAAGCAATTTAAGTAGTAGCTGTATTTCATTGTGCAGGCAGCAATGACTAGCAAAATCACCGTGCTCACTACAGATGTGATTCTATTTTCAGTTTCAGTTTATGCTTGGCCACATTCATAGATGAGAAACCCTCAGAGATGAGGGGCCTAGCAGAGTTGGCTTTTTTTTTTTCTAAGTGGGCTGATTTTCTAAGGGCTGCAACGGAGCTGGACCCCTACCTGGAACCATAAGTTTTGGGAACATGGTAGTCCCATGGTTTCCAGGAATAAGGGTAGGGGGAAGATGGCCAGAGTAAATTTGATTCAGCTCTTTCTTGGGTACAAATGTTCAGCTGTTTAGCTACCTTCCTAGGATTCCTTACCTGTGTTAATAGTTGTCTGCGCATAAAGAAGAAAGTAAAGGGAAGCCCGAGGTTAGTTTTAGCCACTGCTGAAAGTGCCCTCTCTGAGAGCCCTGAGTCCTTCCACGCCAGTGTACCTGGGCTTGGTGATTGTGGCAGTGTATGTAATGAGTCTTTCTCTGTCCTTCTAGCCGGTTCCCAAATAATGACACTGAGACTTCTTATTAATTGTGAAAGCTTGGCCTATAGCTTAGACTTGTTCCCAACTAGCTCTTATAACTTAAATCAACCCATTTATACTAATCTATGGTCTATCCCATGGCATTACCTCTCTTCCATCTTGCACCTCGGGTTTTCTCTCTGTGTCTCCTGGCGTCTCTTGTGTGCCTAGGTTCTTCTTCCTTTCTTTCCCTGGAAATCCCGCCTAGATCTCCTGCCTAACTATTGGCCATTCATTTTTATTACGCCAATCACAATAATGTACCTTCACACAGTGTACAAATATCCCACACGTGTGTGCGCACGTGCACATGCGTGCATCATGAGCGCGGGGAGAGCACTGGTATCCACAGTGCTGTGTGTGTGCACACTGTGTGTGTACAGTGGCCACCATTTTGCTCTCCAAGTGGCTCTGAGGGCAGCAATGTCATTCCTCCTCTAGCCCCATAATGAGGAGAGAGCCTTGTGTTAGCTTTTCAGGGTTGCTATAAGATAAAGTACATAAAGCCAGGTGTTCACAGCAATGGGAATTATTTTCACACAGTCCTGGAAGCTTAGAGATGGCTGTTTTTTTTTTTTTTTTTTGTTGTTGTTGTTTTTTTCCCCCACAATGTCTTTACATGGTTTTCCTTCGTGACAAATACAGGTCATATTGGCCAGGACCTACTTTAGTGACCTTACCTAACTTTTGCTGTTTCATTAGAGGTTCTTCTCTTCACACGCAGTCAAAGCTTCAACATCCGAACTTAAAGAGGCCGTATCTCAGCCCGTAAGAAGACAAGGTCCTTATTGGCTTTCAGTTATTCTGTGTTTCAAGGAGGATGGAGGTATGAGATAGATTATAGATAGATACAAATTATAGAGAAGAACAACCAGAGGTGTTGGGGGTTATTTCACTAGGAAGCTGATGCAACAGGGCTCTGTGTAGCTGCTTCAAACAGAACAACCATGCTTTCTTACACTGTGGTTAAGAAAAAGAATTCTCACACACAAGAGGAAGACTGTATGCAGAAATCATACTACCCTGGTCATGCTGTCCTGTTGCTGCGGCAGTTAAGAGATGGGCAATTTAAAAAAAAAATTAGAGAGAAGTAAATAAGAAAAGTCAAGTAGACTCAGAGTTCTTTAGTTCAGTGACAGCTGAGAGGTAAAAGAAGATGGCTGAGCATGGGGACCAGCGTTGTACTATTGCTTGTCCGATAATGTGAGCAGAGACGGAACTAATTTTTTATGGCTATCAAAGGTTTCTTTGGGTGTTGGAGGCCAGAGAAGTGGATCCGTTCCTCCTTGACTAAGGGTCCGAGAGTTCAAGCCTATGCTTTGCAACTGTGTAATAGTCTCCATTTTAGCCCTTGAAGGTCTTTGACTGGCAGGTATAACAGAAACATCTGCACCAGTATCCAGAAGACCAGAAAAGCGAATGGTGGACTTCGAGTCTTACATTCAAGCACAGCAGAGAGATAAAAGGCTCAAGCCTAAAGTCACGAGCAGGGGACCATCGGCTGAGGCTGGAGGACTACAGCTACTGTTTTCCTCTGCTCCAACTTTCAACTTGTCGATGCCCTGGGGTTTAGAGTCCAAACCAGGGGCACTTTGCTATACGAAGCAATGCCGTCTCAAGCATCATTTCTCTTCTTTTAGTGACCTGTAAGATGGCTTTAGAAAGGTTATTTAAATATGTAGCATAAAATATAGCTGGAGTAGTGTATGAACTACAGGAAGGTGCAATTTGAACCTAATGATTTAAAATATTGACCTGTATGTAATTAAAAGTGTACATGAGTCCCATAAGGTTTAAAAATCTAAGCATTTTTAAAATACGGTGATTAAAACGAAGCTATGAACATGCGCCAATTGATTCAATGCCTCTTGATAGAAATGTTCAAAGGGAAAAAAACCCATTATGATTCAGCTGCCCAGGGAAGCCCATACAATTCCTTCCTTATAACAGCTACCTGATTTTCTAGCGTGGAAACCAGAAATCATTGGGCATTTTATTGCAAAAGTACCTCCTGTTGTTTCCTTGATGGGTGCTATTTTGAGAGCATCTTATGACAAGAAGAATATCATGCAAAGAATCAGAATTTAAGCTGCAGGAAGAAAGCTTTTGTGCCATGGACTGTTGTCAGTTTCAATAATTAGTTATATTCCCATCCCTCTCAAATCTTTTTTCTTTTTCTTACTGATTTTTATTAAACTCTACATTTTTATCTGCTCCCCTCCCTCCCTCTCCCCTCCCCTTTAATCTTCTCCCAAGGTCTTCATGCTCCCAATTTATTCAGGAGATCTTATATTTTCTACTTCCCATGTATATTAGATCTATATATGTCTCTCTTAGGGTCCTCATTGTTGTCTAGGTTCCCTGGGATTGTGATTTTTGAGCTGGTTTCCTTTGCTTTATGTTTAAAAACCACTTATGAGTGAGTCCATGTGATAATTGTCTTTCTGTGTCTGGGTTCTTAACTCAAAATGATGTTCCATCCATTTGCCTGCAAAATTCAAGATGTTTTTTTTTTCTGCTGTGTAGTACTTCATTGTATATATGTACCACATTTTCCTTATCTATTCTTCAGTCAAGGGGCATTTAGGTTGTTTCCAGGTTCTGGTTATGACAAAGCTGTTATGAACATAGTTGAACACATGTCCTTGTGGCACAATTGAGCATCCTTTGGATATATACCCAAAAATGGTATTACTGGGTCTTGAGGAAGGTTGTTTCCTAATTTTCTGAGAAATTGCCACACTGACATCCAAAGGGGCTGTACCAGCTTTCACTCCCACCAGTAATACAGGAGTGTTCCCTTTCCACCACAACCTCTCCAGCATAAGTTGTCATCAGTGTTTTTGATCTTGGCTATTCTTTCAGGTATAAGATGGAATCTCAGAGTTGTTTTGATTTTCATTTCTCTGATGACTAAGGATGTTTAGCATTTCCTTAAGTGT